AAAATGCTTTAGAAGTAACGTCTACACAAGATTTTGATAACTGACGACATCTCACACCCTGGCTTAAGCAAATCGTGAAAACAATCTAAATTCAGAGTGGTCCGCCATATTACTGTGTTAATATACGGATCCCACCATCAGACTGGATGTTCATGAATCATTCATGATAGAGATATGTGAAGGTTTAGGAATGTTTTCGAAAAGTGGTGCTTCAAAATGAGTAAAGTAGCAGCTGGCGAGAGATGAAGTAAATGAAGAAGAGATATTCTCAGGAGTTTGAGTAAAAGGTGACATGTTTCGGGAAGGAACATTACAATGTATGAAGGGTGTGTTTTTATTACACTAAAAATGTAGTGGCGATTAAGGAAAATAAATGGGTATGATACCCCCAAAAAAAGAACACCCACTTAGAAGCGTATAATTCACTTCAGTCGAAAATGTGAAAACTCTATGTAAAACTAGGACGAACTGATCTAATGAAGTAATGTGGAGTAAAACATACCAATGAGCATTCGTTTACCACTGTTCTGTCTTCTTAGAATAAATTCATTCCAGTAACAATCCCATTTGTCTTCACACGAACCCAATCAAGCACAAAATATGGAGAGCCCATATCATAAAATGTTTCACTGGTTGTTGTTTGTCGTTACTGTTCCAGAGGAATCTCCACGTGTCATGAATCTGACCAATAGGATTCTCTTAACAAAAACATATGAAATTCATGAGATCATATAACTTGTCATTTTTCGTTAGTTATCGTACAGTCAGATCGACAAAACTACAACAAATTACATTACATCTAAAACTGTATCGTATTCAGACGTACCATTCATAACCGGATATCTTGACCGACGTCAGCAAAGAGCAATTAAGCGTTTTTTTGTTGTTTTTGAAAAATTATTATTACAAGCATTATCGATTCGGTTGTCTTTATTCAACGTCACAGGCATCCATTATACGTTCTTGGTTTTCAAAGAGATTGTAAGTACGATAAAAAAGACTTTATTTTACTATTGGAAGAAATACCATACGTATTTTGTTTTCTTATTTAGTATAGAAAACGATATTCAGGCAAGTCACGTCTTCGATTTCGGGAGTGGTGTAAAGGAGCAGAAAACGTAAGAGATGTCAGACATATATGGCATTCTGTCGTAGACACTACTCTATTCTATATGCCTTACAATGAGTCAGAAACAGCGTAATCGACTGTTGGCAACGTCTGGAAGCCAGCTTGTTTAGTAGAGTACAGAAACTATCGGTCCAGCCTTTCCGCATCGAGAACGATAATGTAATTTTCCAGGCGGATTGGTTATCTGCGCTAAAAGTAGATGCAAAGATGGAAGAAAAACACGTGTCAAGAAACCTGCACCTCTTTCACCACATTATATTATAGCGTTTCCAAAATAAAAAAATCCTTTATTTTCATTCAGCTCGAGCGATGAGTCTCAGCTATACAGAGCTGCGTTAGGAAAAAATGAAAAGAGGTCTAAAATTAGGTCAGATTTTTTTTTCTAATATCTGAGTAATTCACAAGAGATGATAAAAGATTTTTTATGGTGTATATAGATAAAAATCGAACTTATATGAACTTTTCCAAATTTCGAATTTGGAGAAACAAATTGTTACAAATCGTGATAAGACATCGTTTTAAGTTTTCCCAACGTCTTTACCAATACGCATAATTTTCGAACACAAATGATAATTTAAACTTACTGAAATCTATCATATCTACCTATATATGCTTAAAATAGTTTACACTTTTAGTTTCAAAGGCACAGGTCCAGATGTGACTAATCATACTGTGAGTTACATAGTGACAAGGACATTGATATCATGGTTACAACGAGGTGTGAGTTACATAGTGACAAGAACACTGATATCATGGTTACCCACCAGATGTGAGTTAAATAGTGATATGGACCTTGATTTCATGGTTACCCACCAGATGTGAGTTAAACAGTGGTAAGGACATTGATTCCATGGTTACCCACCAGATGTAAGTGAAACAATTATAAGGACATTGATCTCATGGTTACCCACCAGATGTGAGTCAAACAGTAGTAAGGACATTGGTGACATTGATTAAGAGGTTACCAAACATTTTAAATTACATAGTGATAAGGACATCGATTTCATGGTTACCTACCAGGTGTGAGTTAGACAGTGGTAAGGAAATTGGTAACATTGATTAGGAGCTTAGCAAACATTGTAAATTACATAGTGACAAGTACATTGATTTCATGGTTGCCCATTGGTGACATTGGTTAAGATGTTACCAAACATTGTAAATTACATAGTGATGACACTGATTCAAAAATTACGAACCGAGAATGAGTTAAATAATGCAAAGATACTGGCCCAAGGGTCACCATTCGCACTTGGGTTAAATGATGACAAGATACTGGCCCAAGGGTCACCATTCACACTTGGGTTAAATGATGACAAGAGCATTACTCCAAAAGTTACCAATCATATTTGAATGACATTGTGGCCGAGACACTGGTTCAACCATTCACACTTGGGTTAAATGATGACAAGAGCATTACTCCAAAAGTTGTAAATTATACTGGAAGCTACATAATAACAATAACACTAATTCAAATGTTGTCAACTACACGGTAAGTTTCATAAGAACAATAACACTGGTTCAAAGTTGTAAACAGGTTCAAACGTTGTAAACTATACTGTAAGTTACATAATAACGATAAAACTGGTTCAGACGTTGTCAACTATATTGTAAGTTACATAATAATAGCATTGGATCAAACGTTGTCAACTACACTGTGAGTTACATAACAATAACACTGGTTCAAACGTTGTCAACTACACTGGTAGCTATATAATAACAATGACGCTGGTTCAAATATTGCCAACTACACTATAAGTTACATAACAATAACACTGATTCAAACTTTTTAAATTGTACTGTAATTTACATAAATATAACACTGGTTCAAAAGTTATCAACTGAACTGTAAATCGCATATAATAATAACACTGGTCACCAAACGTAATAAGAGTTATATAGTGGCAAGTACACTGGTCTGTAGATTACCAAACGCATGTGAACTAAATAATGGTAAGGGCGCTATAGATTTGAGTTAAAAACATTACTAACATGAAAATAAGATATTTCTGTTATCCTTCTAAGACCCAAACTAATAGCTGCTAAAAAAATTCCAGGCAGAGAAATAAAGTGGTTTAAACTTTAATTTAACGAATAGCAAAGTTTTACACTAAACACTATCAGCAGTTTGTAAATTTAACTCACTTTTCATACAACTTATGATAACGGGTAGAGATCTTACTAAAAAAAAATCGCTAGGATATAACCAGGTTATTATTGGGTTTGAAAGTATAACTTCATCAAGTCAAGGGCAGTTAAAGAGATTACTACTACATTAGAAATTAGTTACCCGCTACTAGGCTCTTGCATTACCTAATGAGTCTATATATAAAATCTCTCTACCTCCTGCTATAAACGAACAATAAGGAGATTTGAAACATTCTACGAATTATGTACACTGAGGACAGACGTACCGCAGGGGGTTACTCTATAAGTTGGGGTAATCGTCGAAACAGGATAATGTTTTATGGAATATATCCACAGAACTGAAATTACGCCATTAAGGATAAGAAATAATATCCAAAATAGTGCTGTATATCTCTTCTCTTTTCTACAGCTTGCGTTCCATTAAATAAATAGGTCTGAACTGAAGTTGATGTTCGTAAGCATTATAAATTAATTTATCAACCGAAATGCTCAAAGATAATTATGAAACAAAACCGTGGCTTATAAAACAATAAAAATTCGCGAAACTTCACTTTAGCCGTGCTACAAACAGTTTGTTTTAACAAGATCCACTAATGCGTGTTATAATTTTGGGCTATAAGTATATTACTCTATCATAGCTTTATTATAAGTAGTTATAAGCTGTTAGTTTTTTTTATAAAAAAGTTATACCTTTTAGTCCGCATAAAGAGAGTTAAACATTTAATGTCTCATTCTACCCAAAGAAAAATAAAACCTAAATTAAGTTCATTCTTGGTCATAATATCAGGTATGTCCATTACAAATCCGGTATGAACAATATGTTTAACATAACGCTAAGTATAAAAATCACAAGCTTACAATTTCAGGAAAGGAGGACTAATTCAAACTATCTTGATTTAAAGTCTGAAAGTAATTTGTTTTGTTTTTCATAAACGTAATTATGCACCATTATCGCATATATATATATACATTTAACTATGTTTTCGTTTAACTGGATATGAAATTTAATACAGTCAAACTTAACAAAAATAAAATAATTAGCCTAACGTTATCCAGACATAAAATGGTTGTAAAAAAAAAGATATTGAAATTACTAAACTGTACTTCAAGAAGTTACTTGAAACAAGGTAGATAAGGCAATTTTAAGTATACAAATACACAATGAAATTACTCTGATGTAACGTTATTATTAAAATAAACATAAGCCAAATATACATAAAGTATATATAATATAGTACAGTTACTTTCTTTGTTCTTTTCTTTAGAGCAGCGAATCAAACCCCGAAATTTAGCGTTGTAAGTTCGTAAACTTACTGCTGTCTCACCGAGGGAACTTTGTTTGTTTGCTTTGGATATTCGCGCAAAGCTACAGAAGGTTTCTCTCTGCATAGCCATTCGTACTTTTGAACTAAAAGACTACAGGAAAAGATATATATAGTTAGTCAACAGCACCCGCCGCCAACGATTAAAAACATAACTTATAATTCTTAATGTGGCTCTGAATTTGACAGTTTCTAATATTATTTTATAATACATCAACGTCCCTCAAGTGTAAAACGCGATTTTGTGATAACGGGGCTCTAACTTTAGACTCTAGGAGGATTCACAGTCCGGCAGGCTAATCACTAGATTACGCCCAGTCCCAGTAAATTTGATAAATTATAGTAAATGTTATCTATGCTGTACATTAATATAGAATAAAAACCTCTAATTAAATGTTTTTCAGCTTTGAACGAAAAGATTATAAGTGAAAAGAGAGGACACGACGATATAAATCAAGATGAGAGCGATGGACTGAAAACTTTCAATTCCACTTCAACAGAATCGGAGTCAGGAGATTTCAACCATCCTACCTTCGGTGAAGATATTCCAAAAAACGTCACAACACAACTAGGGAAAATGGTTTTCCTGCACTGTGTGGTCCACAACATCGGTGACAAAACTGTAAGTTCTCATGTAACTTTTTATTCAATATTAAACACTTGAAAGATATTTGAAATACGGTTAGTGAAGTGAAACAACAATATGGGTATAAATGGAGAGAACCGTACGACATACAGCTTTGCAATTTGACATAGGTCTATAAAAATATATGTGTTTGTTTGTTTTAGAGCAAAGCCACATTAGGCTGTCTGTTATTTCTACAGCGAGGAATCGATCCTTGGATTTTAGCGTTGTAAGTCCGTAGACTTACCGCTGTCCAGCCGGGGGACCGAAAAAGATATATATATACGGAACACTTTATGAAATAAAAAAATATGGTCTCAGTTCATGGTGACCTCGAACACGATCAGTTTGATTTCATTTTAAGGATACAGTAGTATTAATGCACGTCACATAAAATGTTCAAGACGCCCTTTGAACATTTCAACAACAATAGACTCCAGATAAGGTAGATCCTATAATAAATAAACTTAGTATTTCGAAAATTATTTAATCTCAAAGCCTAAGTTCAAGGGAGGTCCAGTTCAACCTACACTTTGATCAACGTATGTTCTTGGGTTATAGTTTCGGAGAATTCCACTTCTCATCAGTAACCCTGAATACAAGTTAACCAAAGAGAGGTAAGCTAGGCCTATATCATGGTGAAAAATATCAAACATATATTGAGGTAGATCCTAACAGACAGCAACACCTAGTATAACTTCAATGACACGTATCATATACTGTTGGTTGTAGTTTTTTGTTTACTGGGTAAATGTAACAATTTTGAAATCATTTGCTAATTACACCACACAATAAACAAATACAATTTTAAAATCCTTTGTAGCGCCACCTATTGCCCTATTTTTTCATAAATCGATTCCGTATATGTTTTCAGACACCTGTGCCAACTAACAATGCTGTACGGTTTTTTTTTTCCAACGTTATTTTGTGCCAACTCTGTACTGTACAATGATCATGAACTTCTTAAGCTAAGTTTTCAGAAATAAATACTTGTTAGAAACGTATTTGTCTAATTAGTTTTGAAGACCAAATGTCAGGTTGTTGTTTATTGTTACTAAATGATGATGTCAATCTTAATGCACACTGTAGATTAGCTATGATGCTCGGTTAGCCTAATTCGTATCGGTTGCTTAACAAAGTTTTGAATAACTTTAATTAGTTTTAAAACAATCATGTGTTACCTTTGTTACGTTTGCATAATTTCACGGTCAACGTTGCAGGCAGACTTAACAGTGAGGAAAAACTATTCTGACAGCTGAACTAACCTTGTGGAGTGTAATACATACTTGTCAGAAATTTCTAATTAACACAGTCTGAAACTAAACAAACTAGATTGTTTGTTTGTTATGGATTTCGCACAAAGCTACACTAGCCGTCCCTAATTTAGCAGTGTAAGACTAGAGGGAAGGCAGCTAGTCATCACCACCCACCGCCAACTCTTGGGCTACTCTTTTACCAACGAATAGTGGGATTGACAGTCACATTATAACGCCCCCACGGCTAAAGAGCAAGCATGTTTGGGGTGACAGAGATTCGAACCCGCGACCCTCAGATTGTGAGTCGAGCGCCCTAACCACCTGGCAACAAACTCGAAGTTAATCCAACAGTGAATACACCGAATAAAACTTCAGTAGACATAAGGAAATAAAAATGTATATAACTTGGTATTTAAAATATTTAGTTTATTCCTTTTTCAAGTTTTTGTTCCTTATTTTCGTTTAACAAGGATATTTTACTCTATATACAACTTTGTACTGTGTTTTTATGCACTTTAAAGTTATAGTTTTTTCTTACAAGTAGACTAGCGAAAGATTCTTATTAAATAAAGAAATCCTTGTAATTTTAATGTTTTTGTTATGATGTATTTACGACTGGTTGAAACTATCTTACAAGTTTGAAGTTTTAGTTTTCAGGTACTAATGATGGCACCTTTGTCTACCTCCATATCAATGAAGTTAGATAGAAAAATACCTAATCTCACTATCACTTACTAGTATTCTCACGTGTTTTCTTGAAACTTGTAATATGTTCTGCAAGTTTTGGGCGTGGATCTAGAAGTGTTCATAGGATAAAAACTTACTGGTACTTTTACATTTTTTTTCAAGTTCTTGTTGCTGTTCTAAAATAATTCATAATGTAAGATTATAAATGATGTTTTTATTGTTACAATCGATTTTGCTACAAAGTCTACATCAGATTTGTTTAAAATTCCTTGTCATTCAGAAAGAACGTTTTAAAATCCCAATTGGTTTTGATAGATTAGTGCAGACCGCCATCTTGTAAAAAGCCTCATGAAGACCTGGTGTCGGAAGCGGTTGAGATTAAAAAAAAAACATTTATTTCTGAGTTTTTCTCTTCGAACTATCGATAAAATGGTGTTGAAGATTTTGTATCTCTTTTATTTAAACATTTTTAAAGAACATTACGTTTTAATACAATAAGAAAAAAAGTTGATATTTATCCTATAAATTACTAAAATGTATTTACAGTATAAAAATTGTTATTTAAATAAAAGCACTACATGCAGTAAGTAGGAATCTTAAAACAAAAGTTGCGTTCCTGGCAAAGCAAAATAAGATATATGATTAGTCCACTAAAGGTGAAAGGTTAATGTTAATTATTTTTATCTTATTTTATACCATCACATTTCAAGTAATTAGCTTGGGTTGTGTGGTTCGCATTCTATCATTTCTGTATTACACTCACTGTTGACAGCTAATATTTAGGCCTTATCACAGATGTTTTTGCATGTTTATTCTGATTGGCGTTTTGTAGGACCTGAATTGGCTGATTTACTCACGGTGTAAGTAGCGTCGTTTACAGAAACCTAAAGTCAAAGCAATATGGAGTTAAAACACAACTTGGAGATGTTTGTTTGTTTACTATTAAGCACAAAGTTACACCATGGATTACCTGTGCTGTGACCCCCACGGGTATCGAAACCCGGTCTTTAGTAATGTGAGACACTGTGGGGGTGGAGGAGAGGCATTTAGCAATGCAATTAAATTTGTTATTCTAAGTAATCCTTTCAAATGCAGTAAAAGTACTTATTTTATATAAAAAAAAACGTTATTTGATGTGCATGAGATTGAAATGGCTTCATTCTATTTTTAAATACAGGTGCTTAATCTTTTAATATGTCGAAATTAGTTTAACTAGTTATTATGAAGTTTGAAAAAAACGCCAAGTACGTAATTCTCTGTCACTATTCTTTGTTTGTTTGTTTGTTTGTAATTAAACACAAAGCTACACAATGGACTATCTGTGCTCTGCCCACCACGGGTATCGAAACCCGGATTCTAGCGTCGTAAGTCCTCAGACATAGCACTGTGCCACTGGTTTTTACCTATACATATTTTCTTAAATCCAAAGATCTTTTCTTGGCGATTTTATCATAATTTTAAATTTATGTGCTATTATGATAAATGTTAATTAATAAGCAGATGATTTATGTCGCACCTCAACTAACGTATAAGTGTTAAAAAAGAAATATTGTTTATGTTTTCTTTCATAGAATGAGTTTCTAAAATGATGCAAAGCTATTAAGAATAAATACGAAACCTAGTCTATCATTCAGTTCGCTTCTCGTTACTGGACAAGAGCAAATCGAAATAACAGGACTAGGTTTCTCGTGACAGCACGTGACCCGGTTGGTCAGCAGTAGGTTTACGAACTTACAATGCTAAAATTCGGAGTTCGATTCTCCGCGGCGGACGCGGCAGATAGCCAAGTGTGGTTTTGTGCTGAAAAAACAAACAAACACGACAGCATATGCATATTTGTACAAGGAGTTTTCTTAATTAATAACGAAATGGATTATTATTTCTTGCATACCAAACAAATCAATTTATAAATATCAAATGTAAACGAATGAGATTGAGAGTATCCAGAGGTAGCTTCCAAACACAGCCCGTGTTAAGTTAGTACAATGTGAGTTGAAACACGCTAGTTAGGTTTAGTGTAGACGTGTTGTTACGGATCCAATTGCGTACAGTTGGTTTAAAATGGTAGCCACAAGTGGTTTGTTCGGAACGTTTCCGTTAAAAATTTACTTACAACCCTTTATTTAAGCTCAGTGTCTCTCTTGTAGTTGCCAGTTGGCTCGCCTTCTATCGTATGTCGTAGTAGGAAACCTATGATCACTTATAAACACCATAATTTTTCGGCCGTAATTTCTTTATATCCACCATATAGAACGATAATTCATTGGTCGTAATTTCCTTATATCCACCATATAGAACGATAATTTGTTGAACGTAATTTCCTTATATCCACAGTATAGAACGATAATTTGTTGGTCGTAATCTCCTTATATTCACCATATAGAACGATAATTTGTTGAACGTAATTTCCTTATATCCACAGTATAGAACGATAATTTGTTGGTCGTAATCTCCTTATATTCACCATATAGAACGGGAATTTGTTGAACGTAATTTCCTTATATCCACAGTATAGAACGATAATTTGTTGGTCGTAATCTCCTTATATCCACCGTATAGAACG